TAAAAATGAGAAATCAATGGGTCATAGAGTACCACGGCATCGTGGCAAAGCTGAAGCAAGACTCAGCAAGGGCAGAGGCGCACCGTGGAGCTCTGGCCACGGCGAAGTGCTTGCGACGGGGACGTTGCCGGCCACGAGGAAGAAGAGCGCGCATAGCAGTTTTTCGGTGAAGTCAAGCAACAAAAGCAGGTTGGTTGGGTGCGCAAGGAGCAGACGGAACTATTGAGCGCTACGCTGCGACGCCACAGGCGCTGGTTCGACAGTGGGAGCTCACCGGAGATGAGCAAGGCGACGGGAAAACAGAGGAGGAGGAAACGGCAAGGACGACGGCGGCTCAGGTTATAAAGGATGGCCAGGAATCGCAAGGAAGCCACAGCGGAGCCATTTCCCTCGCTAGCACGACGCCCAGACGGCCACGCGCGCGACTGGAAGCAAGCCGAAGGATCGCCGGCAATGTAGCTTAGGCGGTGAACACTGTTCACAGAAATTACAAAATTGCCATTCGCCAAAATTCACAAATTACTCTCAAATTTTCATAACAAATCAAAAATCTCCAAAAACAAAAGCTGTTCAAAATCAAAAGTTCTACAACTTTACTTTGATAACCAACCCCTAATTTGGTCTACATTTTCAAATGAACTTTTAAATTCAAATAGGGAACATTTAAGGAATTTCGCCTTTTTAAATAACTTCAAATTTTACTAAACAACTTGGAAAACTCCAAAAACAAACTTTGTACAACTCAACAAGCCCTACAATTTTGCTTTAAGGCTCAACCCCAAAATGTGCTTTGATTTTGAAATGGGTTTTCAGGGTAGGGTTTAAATATTGAAAATCAGGGTTTTCGGAATTTCAAATCAATACAAAGATTTCGAACTTGATTCAAACAATACCAAGCAATACTTATAACATAAATGTAAACTTGTTTTAGTGAATGCATATCAAAGTTTGCAATATGACCAATGCCTTGCAATGCATATGATTATATGTCCAGTTTTTTTTAATACTTAAACACCCGGGGTGTTACAACCCTTACTGATGTTGACCGGACTCTGGCACCCAGCGTCCGGTCACATTGCTGTTCAGCATTTGATTAGTAACTGGAACCTGACCAGCGTCCGGTCAGCACTGACCGGACGCTTCCGATCAGGATTCTCTCTCTCTAGAACCTTACTAGAGTTGACCAGACTCTGGCACCCAGCGTCCGGTCACATTTCACTCAGCGTTCGCTCGCAACCAGACGACTTCACCTTGATCAAATAAACTGACCGGACTCTACTGCCAGCATCTGGTCACACCGGAACCAGCGTTCGGTCAACATTTGACCCTCCATTCACTTCCAACTCGAAATCATATGTGAATGAAGTTTTCTCCAATTGATCTTAGGGTTACTTTGGAGCTACCTAGTGCTAGATTTGACAAGTGTGCACCACACCTAACCCACTAGACTTACTTAGGTCAAGCTACTAGTTCATACCCCCTTAATTAATGCGCCAAAGGAAAAACAAAGTCTTAAACTACTCTAAGTGTCTCTTCAACACCAAGCGACATTTAGAACTAGTCCATCCTTAACCTTTCACTTCCATCCTTTCGAATGATCATCATAGGGGCATGACAACCATGATTGCCCAATCAATTGGCATTACCATGACCTAACTTAATTTGCCTCTACAAAACACACGTTAGTCATAGTAATCACGTATTGTCATTAATCACCAAAACCCAACTAGGGGCCTAGATGCTTTCAAGCCGGCCCTCTTTTATTTCCAAATCAAGAAAAGCCCGACGGCGGAGCCTGTTGTTTCAAAGATTAAGGGCTTAGGCAAAGACTACATCACTCTCGCCGTAACCATCTTGCTTCAAAATCTGATTGACTTGGGCCATCTCCTCGGCATCAGTGGCTTGATGGGCCTTATGCGCCCTAGTATCCCTGATAATGTCGCTCAGGTCATCAAGGCAGTCATCAAGGGTTGGAGTCCTGCTACTCTTGTTACTGCGAGGACTATTAACGGAATGGTCCCTAGTGACTCTCTTGGAGGACTGGCCAACACTACATGGTTGTACGGGCTCGTCGGACAAGGCTTGAGGAGTCTGAGGGCTTGCACTACTGGGTGTACGGTCAGGTTGATGCCCCCCTGCAGATACCAACTCGCCCTTGTCACACGGGGGGCGTCCCAAAATCAAGATCAGTTGCTCACAGCATTGTGGACGTCTAAACCTCTCACGAACGGTTTGGCTACTTTCCTCCACGTGATCCAGGGATGGCCATGTTAGTAGTCAGTTAGTGCGAACCTAAATGCTAAAAAAGAGTCAACGAAAAGGGTGTAGTTAGTACCCCGGTGCCTGCGGCGTACCAACCGGGGTTAGCTGTCACCTCTCCAGTATGTGGGTCATGGCCTAGTCCATTATGGATCTGACCGTCGCACCAATTGAATTATGCCCTTTTCAGCTCGTTGTACTTGTTTTGGAGCTGTTTCTTGTTGTACCCGAGCCTTATGGCCTCGTTAAAGACACGATGGACATTTGTCCACCCGATAGGGGTTGGGGTATTATTGCCCCAGTGACATAGGTTTTTCTGCTGAGTGATTAGCTCAAGAAACAATGAGCAGGTTCTATCATCCCATCTAGCACGATCACGGTTCATCTGATGCAATGTTTGACATTCTGATGTATTATGTACATGGATGCTATGGAAATGGAAAAAAGATGTTCCTAGCATTACACAAAAGAAGGGATTGGGCGAAGGAAAAGGGAACTTGCCTTTACAAAACATTTGCGGCGTTTTGAACGGAGGTTGTACTGCCTGGCTACAGGTGGAGAGCACGACGAAGTCGACGACACTGCCAGTGTGGGTAGCGTTGAGCACCAGCAGATGAAACGTCCCTGAATTCTCTGCAGCGTAAACATAGAGCATAATGTTTAGGTTCAACAAAACATAATGCATGAACAGCAAGCGATAGTACTCTTAAAACCGTCTACCAAGTTGTGCATATGAACATTATAAACCATACAAGATTATTATTTGTAAACTAGGCATCAAGGACATATGAACTCAAATTTGTAGCTGCCAACAGATATACACATAGAAATAGGACGTTATCAAAATACAAATGGAGTACAAACTCAAGAAAGTAATTACAACAGCTAAGTTAAAACAAATATAACAATTAGAGAGGAGAGTAAGCCAAACTCACCACTAATGGTAGCATATTTCAAAGATAGCTCAAATCAAAGGAAACAGCGCCCTTTCTTAAGCACGGGGAGGACAAGAGGCTAGACTATTACAATAGGAAAGATGATTGCAAAACCAACTAGCATCGTACAATGCAGGATATTTACTATCGAGCTCTTGTGATGCATGTATACAAGACAACCAGTGTTCTCGGGATCCAAGAACACAAACTGGCAATAAGTAGTTTACTAAAGGACGCATGAATTACTAACCTTCTGCAAGTCGAGTTGAACCAAGAACAACAATTAACAGAGTCTTGTCTTGTTTGGAATTGTACAAGAACATACTACAACACTGATCACCAATTTAAGACTACACCAGCTTCGTCATCCTGCACAATTCGGAGGCAACACAGGACGGAACACGTCAACAATAAGTTATGTATGATCAACAAAGTTATGTTCAACATAGATCTGAAATACGAACCTTCTCAGTGGGCGGATCGGAAACACCTAGAAGGAGCTGCCGTCGACCGGGTCGTGGCGGTGATGGGGGGTGGGCGCGGGGAAAACCTACAAGACGAGGCCGTGGGGCTCAGATCCGGCGGGGTGAGACTGCGGCGGCGTGGGATCCGGGGGTACCTTGCTGGAGGCAGTCAGCGTCGATGGAGGCGGGTTCGGGGAGGGAGGCGGAGCTCAATGTCACCGAGGCTGTCGATGGCGAGACTCGGCGTCACGGCATATAGAGGCGAGCGGGGACCGATCCACTGACCAACGACGGGGCCCGGTGACGCGGCGGTCCCGACCGTCGAGACTCGCGCGCAGAGACGCGGATGAGCTGCGAGACTGCGGCGGAACCCTAGCCGCGCAAAGCGAAGGAGAAAAGAGGAGGGAGGGAGTGGCACGCAATGCCTGGCGTTGCTTTTTGTCCAGCCGTTTGGCTGGGGCTGGGTTGCCAAACGGCTGAGCTGATAATCCCAAGCACATCTAGCCCAGCAAGCTGTTTCATGCCAACCGAACAGCTTTTGTATGTATAAATATAATTGTACAATACTAAGTTTTAGACTATGATTATTGTTTTTCTGCATGTTAAAGTTCTTTTCTCCCGGTGCAACGTACGTGCATATTTGTTAGCTGTTGATTCATTGAGCTAATATATCATCTGTGTTTTTGCTTTTATATAATCCATAAATTACTGTAAACATTTCTTATACCGTTGCTATGCTTCTGTTCATGTGCTACAAATTCCTGTATTCCGCCTGTCCTTGATGTTTCCTCTGTTTTTTTAACACTCTGTTTTACTATTTCACTATCCCCCTCTCCCCCTGTGTTTCTTCTCTTTTCTGTGTTTCTATATATTTCCCTATAAGTTTTAAACGGTCCATACATGTGTTCCGTGATCAGAAGGTCTCAATTTGCAAGTTTTTCGACTCTAGCGGGGTAGTCTTGAATCACTGGAACCAGATGGCATAGGCGACTCGGCAAGGACCGGCAAGGCGGGAATCGCACCAGACCGTGGGCCGTGGGGTGTGTCCGTGTGGGACGCGCACACCCGCAGTGGCCTGTCCCCGAAACGGCGCGACGCGCGGCTATTCCACGTGCGCGGCCGCTGCTACGCCCACCCGACCCCTTGGCGCGGCGCGCTCCGTCAAATACTCCTCACCCGCCATCTCCGGCCGCGCAGAACGCGCGCGCGTCTCACATCGCACGGCCGGGCACACGGCCACAACAAGCACAGCACAGCTGCACAGGAGGGGAAAAAGAAAAAAAGAGTTGCCGGCGGAGACACGGCGCGAAGCCTGAAGAGGGCACCACTACCGGGCTCCGCGATGGCGTCGGAGCCGATCTTCCGCGGGCACGAGGAGTCCCTCCCCACGGGCGCCCCCGGGTACACGCCCAAGCCTCACAAGCCGCTGGCGCGGCCGCTCCGGTACCTCCTGCAGGAGCAGCGCCTCCTGTTCGCGCTGGTGGGCATGGCCCTCACCTCGGCGGTCCTCCTCACGGCCCCGTCGTCGTCCAACGGGGGAGGCGCCGTCGCCGCTGCCACTGGCGCGGCCTCGGCGGGTAGTGGTAGTCTCGCGCGGCGGCAGTACGGCGGGTCCGCGAACGCGGCGCTGGGTGCCGCGGTGGGCGAGCAGGAGCGGCGCGCGGCGCGGCTGCCGCTGGGCGTCCGTCGGCGGGGCCTGCGCGTGGTGGTGACGGGCGGGGCCGGGTTCGTGGGCAGCCACCTGGTGGACCGTCTCCTGGAGCGCGGCGACAGCGTGATGGTGGTGGACAACTTCTTCACGGGCCGCAAGGAGAACCTGGCGCACCAGGCCGGGCACCCGGCGCTGGAGGTGATCCGGCACGACGTCGTGGAGCCCATCCTGCTGGAGGTGGACCGGATCTACCACCTGGCGTGCCCGGCGTCGCCCGTGCACTACAAGCACAACCCCGTGAAGACGATCAAGACCAACGTGATGGGCACGCTCAACATGCTGGGCCTCGCCAAGCGCGTCGGCGCCCGGTTCCTGCTCACCAGCACCAGCGAGGTGTACGGCGACCCGCTGCAGCACCCGCAGGTGGAGACCTACTGGGGAAACGTCAACCCCATCGGTACGTAAGACGACGACGACACTGGCCTGGCCTGGCAGCGGTCGAGGCTAATCGATCGATCACATTCGATCTCGCTTCGTTCCTTCAACACGTTCGTCGCTGCGTGCATGTCAGATCGATCGATATATGCAGGTGTTCGGAGCTGCTACGACGAGGGCAAGCGCACGGCGGAGACGCTGACAATGGACTACCACCGCGCAGCCAACCTCGAGGTTCGTCGTCGCGTCGCCATCCATCCTTGTGGTTGCCAATTGCATGCATTTTTCGTCCAATTAATCGACCGGCTGGCACGTTCGTGCGTGCGTGCAGGTGAGGATCGCCCGGATCTTCAACACGTTCGGGCCGCGCATGTGCATCGACGACGGCCGGGTCGTCAGCAACTTCGTCGCGCAGGTGAGTCGTCATTCCGGGCTTCCGGTTCCGGCCACGCACTCCACAGCCGCCGCAGGACGCGAACGCAACCATACGAGCTAGCGACTGATATGCCATTCCATTCCATGCTGCGTGGACTGCAGGCGCTGAGGAAGGATCCCTTGACGGTGTACGGCGACGGCAAGCAGACGAGGAGCTTCCAGTACGTGTCCGACCTGGTAATGCCAATGCAATCTCTCACACCACACGATCGATCGAGGCCACAGACTAATAGGAGTATCACACAGGACACAGCCTCCTCGCTTAGTGTTATCGTAAGTTAATGCGTGACACAACACGTATACTCGCTTAGGCCACGTTCGGTTGTTTTGAAATGGGTCATTCAAAGCCTGGAACTATTCCTCCGTAGTATAAAGGCATGTTTGGAACGCAAGAATTTTATAGAATCACATAGGAATTTTATAGGAATCAGTTCAATTTCACAGGAAAAACGCAGGAATGGGGAAAAAAATCCGCATTCCAAACTGGCCCTAAACTTGTGAAGGAAAAATATTTAACTGGGAATCAATCCTACGTAACCGAAAAGACCTGGAATGGCCCATTTCGAAACAACCGAACGTGGCCTTACCAATCCCGTCGCACTCCACTCCAGTCTAGCTCCAGACTGAGACGCGGCCATGAGATACATGGGGACTGTTTGGCTGGAGACGGGAGGACTTCTCTGGTAAAAAGTGTTGTCTGGAAAATTAACGATTTTTGCCTGGCCAGAAGAAGATCTGTTTGGTTGGAAGCCTGTGCCTAGAAAGGCTAATAAAAGATACAGTACATATTTAAAAGCTAATAAAAGGTATAATACCATATTTAAACTTACATGGTTATGGTTATAAATAATAATAAATAAATAAATAAAAAGCATCCATATTTTCTCAATTAATAATATATTTGAAATTACAATTACAAATAAAGTTAATAGATTTCCTAGTTATTTAAAAAATGTCATAAGGAAAGAACGAATGAGGAAGAATGATAATTATAATTATACTGCACACATTATGCTAATTTTAACGTGAACATGATCAAACGAGGGGAGAAAGACTAGAAAATATAAAATATACAAAAAGTTTTTACACATGGCTGTGAAAAAAGAAATAGAATATGCCTGAGAAGTTTAATAAAAAAGAAAATATATTTTCTTCTATATAAAACTTTAGCATCATTCGAGTAATATATATTATTATAATACAAAAATAATATAAATAAAACCTTTAATAAAGTAATATAAAATATAAATACTTTTAATATTTTATTTTCCTAATAATTCATTCATATCACTAAGAAATAAACAGAATAAAATGTACTAAATGTATCTCGGTTGCACATATCACTGATGAACAATAGGAAATAGAAATATAAATAATATAGCGTACAACAAAGTAATGCAGGCCATCAACAGTTCAATTCAAAGTGCGCGGCCAGGTCAGAGACGTCCCCAACCGCTTGCCAATTGCCTGCGTGCCCTCACCGCTAAGTGGGCGCACGCATGCGCGCCATGCCCGCGACGGCACGGCACGGCCGCTGCCGAGTGGCAACCGGTCGTCGTCGTCGCCAAAGCCTCGGGCCTGGACGCATGGCACTGCGGCCCACTGGTCACTGGCAGGTGTCAGCATCTCGCAGCTTTGCCGTCCGAGCGGCAAGAGCAAGCTCGATAATAATTGTTCGCTATAAGTTAAGCTATAAAAGCCTAAGTGATACCATGATTGTCTCTTATTTATCTGTAAAAATATTTTTTTTATTATATGGTACCATGTCTTATTTTCTCTTTTTCATTCCTCCTCATATACACTATTGTTTGGCCCCGTAGATGTCTATGCTTCCGTGTCCAATTTGGTACTAGAATAAGAGCCAAGCTCTCTTCTTTTTCCTCTCTTCTCTCCTTCACATCAGCAAAAAATACTAACTAGCTTAGCTATAAGCCAATTACTGTACTTGCTCTAATGGGCTAATGACCCTAAGAGTAAGTATAATAAAGGACTGCAAGCAGGCTAAATGCTAAGGTGGAAGAGAGAGGGAAGAAGATAGAAAAGAAGTGAATTATAAGCTTACAGTCAGCTTGAACACAAAAACAAAAAAAAGTCTATGAGATAGACAAGTGACTCCTATATTAATAGTGAAGATGTAACGTAGGCTAAGCGTGGATAAGCTGAGTGGTAGTGGTAAGGATTTATACAGTCAACGATCGACTGTATTATTAATCTAGCTCTAACGCCGAAACAAGCAAACCTCACCATACATGAGCTACCGGTCATTTCCAGCTTGCGCCAAGGACCCCGTTCAACATTTGCTGATCTGCCTAGCTCATTACGGACGATCACACATCACTTTCGCTACAGTAGAAGTATACTCATTATTCTGTGCACAAGACAGAAGGCAAGCTCTATTTTTGTGCACAAGCTAGACGAGCTCTATTTGTGTGCACAAGACCAAGACAAACCAATCAGGAACACAAATTTAAGACGACATGTTAATAAAACTGATGAATTATATACCTGTCATGGAAGAGTACAGTGACTCTGCATATACGATGATCTCCGATGGATGGCAGGTGGATGGGCTGATGAAGCTGATGGAGGGGGAGCACGTGGGCCCGTTCAACCTGGGGAACCCAGGCGAGTTCACGATGCTGGAGCTGGCCAAGGTGGTGCAGGAGACCATCGACCGCGGCGCGCGCATCGAGTTCCGCCCCAACACCGCCGACGACCCGCACAAGCGCAAGCCGGACATCACCCGCGCCAAGCAGCTGCTGGGGTGGGAGCCCAAGGTGCCGCTCCGCGAGGGCCTCCCGCTCATGGTCCACGACTTCCGCGCCCGCATCTTCGGAGGAATCGGAGTCGGAGTCGGAGACCAGCAGCAGCAGCGCAACCTCAACTAGCTAGCCGGATCGACGGACCCAACTACTTCAGAATTCAGATTCGCATGGATGCATTCACTCTAATTTCGCTGGCCGGCAGAGCTAGCCTTCGGAGTTCAGAGGCATACATAGCGATCAATCCTGCAGTAGTGCAGTGCAGGGGGGAAAGATCGGTCGAATTCAGAACATTGCAGGGTATTGGGTATATGTAGAAACTAGGGTAGGACAAGCAAGCAGAAAATAGCCGCAAATGCAGTGCAATTCCAAGATCATGGAATTGGTGAGCATCACGAGCTTGGGGTGCTTGATTTATGTGGATGTGTAGCGAGCAAATTGCATGCGTAATTGTAACTCGTGCTGGAATGTATCAGCACGCACGCATGCTGAGTTTAGTAGGATGTACTGCAACATATGGGCATGGCAGCAGTTCTGAAAATTCACTTGTGCTGTTGTGCCATTGTGCGTGCCTCGACGCTGTGGCCGTGTGTTCCTCAGATCAGTTCAGTCCCCTTCACATCATTTACCATATAATACCAAAACAATTAATGCTGTTAAATCTTAAAAAAAATATAGAGAAAACACGAGAACACATATCAGGTCAATGATTTAAACCTCACGGACAGGTGTTCCACCCTATGGAACCTAGAGACTGCCCTGTTCGCATAAACTTATCAGCCCGACTTACATACAATGTTTTTCTCTCATAACAAATCAGCATCAGTCGGCTTATCAGTCATAGAAACATCAGTCGAACAGCTGATGCTTCTCGCTTTTTGGCATGATTTTGTAATTCTAATTGCAAAAAAAAAAGAGCCCTCTTGGCTGGAAGCCAATGGCGATGCTAGCATGGGCACATGTCCTAACTTCCAAGAGGACGCACTGACCATGGCAATGGATCTGGGACTTCGTACAAAAAGTGTTTTTATGCTTTTGGATGGAAGTTGCAACACAACAACGGATTTGTGATTCTGAGACGAAACTACTAGCTGGGCAAGATACGGCATTCTGAAGTTACGAAGGCCTAGCAATCGAACCAACAGATGGCCACGAGAAAGGCCCACAACGGCCACAAAGGCCCAAACTGCATACCAACCCCATCAACCAACCGTGGCCGTCCGATCCGTTCTGCCCTACTACTTATATAAGCCATCTCCGCGGCGCCTCCTCAAAAACCCTATCGTCCCTCCCGGCGCAGCCACCACCGAAGCAGCGGCGCACGCTGACGAGCCGAGCGAGGCGGAGGAGAGGAGAGGAGATGGCGCGCGGCGTGGCGGCTGGGGCGAAGGGCGGCGCGGCCGGCGGCGGCAAGAAGAAGGGCTCCGTCACCTTCACGATCGACTGCACCAAGCCCGTGGAGGACAAGATCATGGAGATCGCCACGCTCGAGAAGTTCCTGCAGGAGCGCATCAAGGTCGCCGGCGGCAAGGCTGGAAACCTCGGCGAGGGCGTCACCGTCACCCGCGATAAGACCAAGGTCACGGTCACCTCCGACGGCCCTTTCTCCAAGAGGTATATAAGCACAAAGCGTGCTAGTTAATCCCGCTCAGATCCACGCATGCATATTTCTTGCTGGGTGCCGATTTTTGGACATACCACTACTGATCTGTCCAGCTGTATGTGTTCTTATCGGTGCCGTATGGGATGAACTGGTCAGTCCGCAGGATTAGGTATTTTGAATTCATTTTTGAGTTGCAGCTAGTGAATCATTCTGTGAGTACGCAGTGAATATAATTAAGTTGCCTGTAGTTGTTTGCTAGGACACATCACATATGTAGTATTTTGAACTTGTTATTGGCTTGGCAGTTTTATTAGCACATTGCTACATCGTAGCTGCATATCAGCACACCCGTCAAGATGCTAGACGAATATAGGTTAAATTTGCACGCTTTTTCCAATGCAAATGTCATGTTTATTCATGCTGTTTGATTGTATTGGACTAGTTTCTTCTTGAGCTGTTTTAGTGGTATTTTGTTCACGTCTGAAACTTAATTGTACTTCATTGTTTGTTCAGTTGACCAGTTGTTTGCTTGCATCAGTTACTAGTAGTTGACCCAAATAGTATGTACCAAGTTGTTGCCTTGCAAGGCTAGTTTGGGCGGCTTAACTGCGTTTGCCTCCTGTGAAAACAAGTTGTTCTTCGTTAAGTTTCTGAAACATTGTTGCTCCATTCTCAGGTACCTGAAGTACTTGACCAAGAAGTACCTGAAGAAGCACAATGTGCGTGACTGGCTCCGGGTTATCGCCTCAAACAAGGACCGCAGCATCTATGAGCTCCGGTACTTCAATATTGCTGAGAACGAGGGTGAGGAGGAGGATTAGACGCACCACCTTATCTGTGTCTTGTGAACTTTGGATGTGTTGGAACACTCATGCTGTAACCTTTTAAGGGATGAGTTTTGATGTTTAAATTGGTCTTCTGATGTTTTTATAAGCGTGCTGGAACTTCTCATGTGATGCTTAGATAATCGAGTCCAAGAATTGTTGTTCTTGCTTCAGTCTCTGTAAGGATGACCGTGGGCAGTGAGCCTATCGAACTGGCTATTTAGCTGCAGGTATTCATGTATTGAAATCATTGCCGATCGGTGTGGTGATGCTAGGCTAGACAACCTGGATGCTATCCAAGCTCTCACCGAGTCAGACGGATGTTCTTGCAATGGGGTAGGCCATGCAGCACATTTTATGACCTTCCGGCATGTAGACTAACATGAATGCCCAACAATCGCCAGGGATTGTCCCGACGGCATGCTAACCCATTAGTCGGGATGGTATTTCATCCTATATCATCACATTAACACACCAAGCGAACCTAGCAATCACTGATCCACCTTTGATTGCCTCGTAATTTTGTTTCATTTTCGTTTACGTTAGTGTTACACTAACCAAACCAAATCACATTTACACAACAGCTGATAGGTTGCTCACAATATCATTTCATTGAACAGTAATTTGGAGGAATGCCGACAGAACACATTTACACAACAGCTCATAGGTTGCTCACAACATCATTGCATTGAAGAGTCATTTGGAGCAATGTCGACAGAATCAGATACAAAGATACCTTCTGAGATCTACCAAACCAAAATGCAAGAATGCGCATTCAGCCTTTACTTTGATTACCAACATTATTGGTGGCAAAAAAGAAAATTCAGACTCCATCGAAAGTGCACATAAGTTCATCACCCAAAAAAGCAGCTGGCAATCAGCTTGTCTAAGTATGTTCATGCAAGCGCTGGGGCGGGAGTGCAACCAGTAGCAACTTCCGATGCCTTCTGTACAGAACTATACTTCTTTGTGATGAACCTGACATATTTCGTTAATCATCAGTTTGATCATTAGTTATTCAGTTCACACCACATTGAAGATTAGTGTAACTATACATCTGCCTAGCAACTTGGTTAAGTTGGTTTTATGTTTAGTTAACCTATTTAAAACATAAGAACACATGGAGGAAGCTACAATAGTTGCACACTATCACATATTCCCTTAACCAGTGAAACAGTTTACGATGCAGATGAAAAGAGGCAAAGAGCACGCAAGTCCAAGGAGTATTCACATTATCTAAGCTACTGTTTACACAAAATTTATTTACAAGATAATGCAGGTATAGTACTTTATACACAATGAATAGGTCAGCAGCCAAATTAGCTAATTGATCATTTGATGAATTGGTACGATACAAAATTTGAGTTTTCAATGCAAGAATGCGCGGGATACTCATTCATACAGGATGACTTAAGTATTGTCTCTAGAGTTTACAACATGCATTGCCTATATCATATACGCTGCAATACAATGGCACAAGGCTAGTCATCTGAAACAGGGGGCAAGTGATACGGACCTGAAGAAATCTCTCCATAGCAACTCAAACATTAACCAATTTATCCCAGCATCAGATGTGCCATCATTATTCTTGGGTGTTGACCCAAGAGGAATTGCTCTGGGAAGAAGAGAATTGCTTCATTATAGACAGAAAAAATTATATAATGGTGAACTTGGGTTCAGCAAACTTGAATACCTAGTAGCATGCTTCTTCAACTCCTCATACATGAACCGTGGAGAGAGGCAACCTGTAGCAAGCCATGGAGAAATTTTGCAGGAGAAATTAGCACCATATATGCTATCTCGGGTATTGCTTTTGTCTGATTTGTTTGGCTGCATAGAGCATTCTACAGCAAACTTCTTCAACCTCTCCAGAGCTTCTGTCTCACCACCAATGAGAGTAGATCCAACAGCAGGTTTCGAAACCTAAATGAACAAATAATGAAATGTAAGTATCAAGATGCACTGCGCAAAGAAGTAGAAATGCAGAAGTGACTAGTGAGTGGGTCTTTGGTACAAACTACAGGGGAACAAAAAATATGCCCATGGCACTAGCACAAATTATTTAAAAGTGACGATCCCACTGTTCATATTAACAGCAGATCATTTTTTTCTCTTTGGGGGAACCGAGGAAGTGAGACAGCTCAGCATTCCATTTCCACATTGATGCTGAAGCCCCTTCATATGTCAATTTAGTTCTATGCATTCTACACAAACGACTCATAAGAGCACAAGACTACAGGTTTAAGGTGTCCCAAGACCAAAAGCAGAAGATGTCATAGTGACTCAGTTCCAAAGTTGCAACAACAACAACAACAAAGCCTTTTAGTCCCAAGCAAGTTGGGGGCAGTTCCAAAGTTGCAAAATGCAAATAAATAAATAAACAAATCCAGCGATGTCATGATGATGAAAATCAAGCTAACTGCTAATGCAGATGAAGATGAGACTATGATAAACAATTCAATTGCAGAAAGAGTGGAATTTGGCATATCTGATTGAGACAAAACTGCTTGCATCTTTTATCATCCAACCACAAAAAGTAATTCTATTATCATTTTGTCCTGTGCTACTCGGACAGTACTACCACAGCTGTGAATAAAAATGGATTGACAGACAGCAAGCAATAGCGACACACAGCCGACACTTGTAATAGGACATTAGGACCAGAGGATTAAATTTCATATCTGATTTTATTTAACTAATTTTTTTTTTTTTTGTGTGAGGTGGCTGATCCCCCTGGTATCGCGTCGAGCCAAGCACATGCGCCCCAGGCAACGTTGCCACGTGTTCAGTGGCTGTTTGCGAAGAGTCGCAGAGGGCAAGCATCTAGCGTTTTCTTCACGTTTAGGAATTATTAATGGCCTGTTCGGCTGTGATTGCTGCAACATCCACTCACAGCTGCAATAGTTCCTCATGCACAAATTTTGCAGAAGCAGCTGTGCTGAAATCACAAGGGAACAGGGCCTTAACTATGCCCCATCAAAGACCCAACATACCCAAAGATATGCCTAAAAAGGTAAGAAATGGATGATTATATAGCCAAATTGTAAATGAAATCAAAGCATGCCATAATTAGCAACATCCATCCATTTCTAGCTGTACGATTTACTTAAAACTATTGAGCGCCAGAAACTTTTACCGCATATAGACTATAGAGTGAGCTCGGGCCTAAATGTCAAGATGCTAAACCTAGCTAAAGATCTAAATTCAAAAAGCATGCCACATGAAAAGAAACAAATCTATATCTCGAAGCCGACTCACCTGTGCCATGGATGGTGGCGCAGTGAGCCCAAGCTCAGCAAGCGTGGGGATGTCGCCCGGCTCGAGCACATTCTTCATGGGCACGCACTTGACCTCCTCGGGCGCCTCCAGCACCTTTCTGACCTCCAAACCCTTCACGGCCTCCCTGAAGCCGCCATAGTTGGACGGCATGTCCTCGAGGTGGAAGGGAAGGTCTTCCACGTGGTATAGCGTGCTACCCCAGAAGTACTTCACGTTGATGCCCTCCTTCTCCACAGCCTTTTGCACCCTCTCCTCGGCGCGTACCTCGTCCCGCGATACCTTCCCGTGAGCGTACACGGCCTCCGCGCCCGCCGCCCGCGCGAGCTCGGGGATGACCACTTCGGGCCTGCCCACGCGCACCACCAGGTCCCCGCCGCGGGCGCGGAGGCTCCGGCGCAGGTCGGCGACGGAGTCGAGCAGGAAGTTGGCGCGGTACGGGCCCGTTCGGTCGAACCCCGAGGGGGACTTGCCGAAGTCCCGCGGGTCGAAGACGAAGACGGGGAGGAGGGAGGACGACGCCCCCGCTGCGGCGTGGAATGGCTCGTGGTCGTGGAGGCGGAGGTCGGCGCGGAACCAGACGAGCGTGCGGCGGCGCCCGGCGGCGGCGGGCGCGCCCGAGGGGAAGGAGCGGGAGAGGCCCGGAGTTGAGGAGGGCAGCGGGGCGATGACGGAGGAGGTGGCGGAATTGAGGCGGGTGGGGCGACGGGAGGGAGGCTGCGCGGCGGAGGGGTGGAGGCAGACGGCGAGTGTAGAGATTTGTGTGGGGAGGTGGATGGTGGAGGGGACGGAGGCGAGCGTGGGGGTGGCCGGTGCGCGGATGGAGAGGGCGAGCGAGAAGGAGGCGAAAGGGAGGAGGCTGGGGTCGTCGCGCGGCGGCTGGGCGCCGGCGTCAGAGTCGGACGCGGCGGCCATGGTTGATGAGATGGGCAAATGAATGAGAGGAGGTAGGGATTTGGTGGTGTGCGCGGACTGCGGATGAGGAGTGAGATGCCGGAGAGGTGCGGGTGGGTCGGAGGGGAAGGAAGGCGGGGGAAGGTGGTGGAGAATTTTTGGACCGCCACCAACCATTTGGGTTTTACCAGAATCCAGATCGAGCTACCCCTTCTACCCAAGATGCACAAGCCAAGAGCCCACGAAAGCTTTCGTTTGAAAAGTAAAAATAAAAATAAACAGTGCCAGTGTAACACAGAAACAAACTAGCTGTTATATCTGAATATGTCCGGGATTGATTGATAATACCGTCGTTTGGTTCGGCCCGGCCCGTTAAAACATAACGCGCAATCGGATAACGCTCCGTTCAAGTCTGATACCGCCCCTCCCGGACCCTTATCTCATTACGCGACCCTCGTCTCCACCGCTCGAAGTCGACGTCTTCCTCTCTCCCCACGTGGCATTCCTCCTTCTCACGGCGGCGACCACAAACCCTCCCTACTCACCGGTGAGCTCTCTCTAACTCCCCGTCTCTCCTCTCCTCTCCTTCTCTCTCTTCTCCCGTGCACCAGCGCGATTTCTAAACCCTAGATGGCGTTTTTTCTTCAGGTCCAAGATCCTTGTAAGGAGAAGAGGACCCGCTCAATATTGAGGTGTTTGTGCACCTGATATGCAATTCATCTATGTACTACCTAGTTGGGAGGGTTCAACACATGATGGTCGTGTGCTGAGAGATGCCATTACCAGGCCAAATGGCTTGCGTATCCCCCAAGGCGAGTTTGGTTTTCTTAACTCGTGGTTTTCTAATAAGTTATCTAGTGTAAATGTTGATTTTGTTTCTGTTTGCAATCTTAAAGGGTGTTACCAAATGCAAATGGCTTTTTAGCTCCATATCGAGGTCAAAGGTATCACTTGGGAGGTTGGACTTCACAAAATCCCCCACATAGCGTAGAGGAATATTTTAATATGAGGCATGCAAAAGCAATAAATATTATTGAGAGGTGTTTTGGAAGGTTAAAGGGTTGGTGGAGAATTTTGAGATCTCCATCTTATTTTCCTATAAAAACTCAATGCCTAATAATAATGGCTTGTGCCCTTTTGCACAATTTGATTTTGCAAAATATGTCAAGAGATCCAATGGAATTTTTGGATGAATCAGCGGTACCCTCAATGGAAATTACTGAAGCAGAAGTTAGTGAACCAGAATTTATCACCTGTGTGTCAACTTCTAATGAGTGGACTAATTTTCGAGATGTTCTTGCTCAAGGGCTATATAATAACTATAGGGCTTCTTCTAGTTCTAATTGAGGTATGCTTTTATCATATTGTTCTAGTTCTGAAATTATTCTATATTATTAGTTGTGTAGTATTTTAACATGACCTTATTATATATTATTAGTTGTGTATTATTTTAACATGGCCTTAATACTATGCAGCTATGGACCTTTCTTAGAAATCAACAACTGTGCGTGGAAGGGGAAAGAATAAAAGGAAGTGGACTATGAATGAAGATGATGAGCTTATGAAAGCACTGTATGAGATATCACTGGAGCCAAAGTGGAAGGGGCAAGGAGGAGGCTTTAATAATGGGTATTTATCTGCACTAGAGGACATTCTTGCTGAGAAGCTACCAGGCGCTGGAATTCCAGCTTTACCTCATATTGAGTCTAGAGTCAGGCATTTTAGGACAAAGTATGGAGCACTAGAACAAATGCTAAGCAGAAGCGGCTTCACCTGGGATGATACTAAGAAGATGCTTCAGTGTGAAAAGATACAATACGATAAACATTGCAAGGTACGCTATCCTTTACATATGTATGTCTATGGTGATGAGACTCAAGAGAGTTGATTTCAAGTACTTAATCTTGTTCTGTCCAGGATGTATCTGTGTGCGCTTTCTTGTTATGATTCCTAAGGGCCTATATTGAGGGTTCTGATTCCTATATTGAGGGTTCTGATTTCTGAAACATCACTTGTTTAATTATTTTGAATAACAGTAAACATCACTTGTTTAATTATTTTAAATACTCTGTGATCCACTTGATTGCGCAATGATAAGTTTTGATTAGGCTTTCCAAGGAGAGTAAAAGTAGGTATCACTCGTTTGTAGATTTCCTTATGGTTATGTTAGTATGTTACTATCACATATGAATGTATGATTGGAGCAGTACTTTGGACTAGGCGCAGAACACTTTATAATTCTTGTGATATTATTTTCATTGGTACTACTCCTGGAGTACATGTTACTGTGATTTTACCAAATGCTGCTGTAGTTGGCAAGCTGTTGACAAGCCTATTCAATCCTACTAGTATCAGTGCAAAACTGTTTTCAATCCTAGTAGTTATTCGGTCCAAATAATAAGCTACATGGCAGGATTGTATCCCATAGACTCCTGATATTATCAAAGCTTTTATGTGCTCAAAACATATGTCCATAAATGATGAAATTTCTTCTGTTAGACACTAGAGCAGCTGGTATACATTCAAATAACTTCATAAGGAATTTGGATTGTCACTACTAGTGAATCTCAAATTTTTCTAGCATAGTCCATTTTGACTGACCATGGGTTTATTATTTCAACACACAAGTGATACATTATCTGCGGCTGTTAACATATTGCTACTATCATATGTAGGATCATCCGGATGCTAAGGGCCTATATGGCACTAAATTCCCTTACTATGATACATTATCTGCAATATATAGAAATGATGTAGCCACTGGTGAAGGTGCCAAAGATATCAGTGAGGCTGTTGACAACATGGAAGAAGAGCTTGCTGCTGAACATGGTAATTAGCATTGCGAAGAAGAGGATAGGATGTCCAGAGAAACCCCTAGACGGTCCGTTGACTCGGCATCATCTAGCTGCAAGAGGAGGAAGCGACAAGGAGGGAAGAGCAAGGATAGTGGAACCAGTGATCTTTTTCTGGACAAGTTACATGAAGTCCAAGGTGATCTGAAAGGTGTGGCTAGTAATGTTGGAAAAATGACAGAAGCAATGGACCGTGAGACTGTAATTCAAGAGAAGGCGATGAATAAAATTCCACAACAGATTTTAAAGGAGAAGGCTGTAGCAGAGTTGCACAAGCTGGGGTTTACTGGGATAGAATAAATCAAAGCTGCTACATTATTTGTGAAATCATCAGATCAAATGAGTATGCTGCTAACCCTTGACCAGTCTTTAAGGAGGGAGTTCATTCTAAACATGCTTAACGATACGATTGTTAGCCAACACTCTTTATAAACCATGCATACTCTGTACTGTTGTCATTGTGAGCTATGCACAAAATCTGTGGTGCTATTTTTTTTATGCACATATACTCTGTACCATCTTCAACACTCCTACTGTCTTTCTAAAATCATTTTTTTAGAGAGAAGATAAGAAAGCGGATAGAAGGAGGAAGATAAGATGTTTGCATATCCATTCAAGAGTTGATGGTGGAAGAGGGTTGCTGACTGTGCTTGGGAGGTGGAAAATGAATGTTGACCGTGCCTTTGCATTTGAATATGCATTAAAGACTAGAAGCTAGAAGATGTTGTCTTTCATTTTACCCTTTCTCGGTTTTATTTATATATGATTTGATCTCGGCCTTGCTCTAGTGCTATACTTGTTGGTTTGCAATATGGCTTAACTCCTCTATAATTAATATGGTTAAACTCCTCCATAAGTAGTCATTTTTCTATCATGGAAATAGCCGTTTCATTTGGCCGACGTAAATGTTCTTTGATGATCTTGTCATGTTCTTGTTAGAATATATTAATATATTTGTGTAGCTTGACATCAATTAATTTACTCAATTGAATGGCCTGTTAGATTAGCTATCAGCCCAGTATTCAAATTTGGAGTAAAACCAGTGTAGTGCAGTGCAGTGTTCACGTTACTGGCGACCGAACCAAACACAGTAACGGTATCCAATACCTTTACTGCACGCTCCCAAACAAATTAAGGGACCAACGATCCCCTCAAGCCCCCCGTGATTTGTTTACATTACCGTTCACGTTACCATCGACGGAACCAAACAGCTTGAAAATAAGAGCTTTGTGTTTAAATGTATTTGCAAACAATAGCGTGCTAATTTCGGGTAATTTGTGGTCGTACTGTTTATAATATATAGATCACGTAATTCTTCGTATTATGACAAGAGTATTTATGAGTAGAAAGATAGGACATAGCGATATTACATGATATTTGGACCTTTCTCAAAAACACATGAGTCTTTAAACGTTTTGATAACAGATACATCATTATACACCATGCATTTGATTGAATCCACCTGCATGAATTATATGAGATGATTATGGTAAGGTGCAGCTAACGACATGGCATCATTTGACATGGGTGAATAGCGCAGAGGAAGCGGAAGTTCGTGCTTGTCGTGAGGGCCTTGAGCTCGCTGCTGTGTGGTGCATAACACAGGCTATATTTTTGAAACAGTGCGTGGCAGCATAGCCAACATGCTATCCTTGAGAAAACCTCAAAGAACCGGCATGAGTTTTATCATTAAAGAAGCAATGGATGATAGAGGTAGACTACCGATTTGGGAAGCCGTCCACATGAAAAAAGTAAAATGATGCTGCATATGAGCTCACACAACTGGCAAAATGTACTAGACATTCAATAGTGTGCCATTTTAATACCCCGGTGTGTGTCGAGCAAGATTTTGTTTAGGATTAATTATAATTATGAGTAATTAATAACCCTTTTTCTAAAAAAAAGAATTTTGTATATTAATTCTTGTTATAGTACAACCTAGCAAGTAAGTTTAAGTAAGTTTCGATATTAGGGATACCCAAAGCAAGGAAGTTAGCGCCCACGTTGACATCCCCGGATGACTCGAGATGTATTAAAAGGTCTCACCCGACCCCAAAGCCACAGGCTCCGTCTCGCCCGACCTCGAGGCCCAAGGACGCGGGTTCCGTCTCGCCCAAGGCCGCGGGCTCCTTCTCGCCCGACCTCGAGGCCGCGGGCTCCGTCTCGCTCGACCCCTTGGTTGCGGGCTCCGTCTCGCCCGACTCTAAGGACGCGGTTTCTGTCTCGCCCAAGGCCGCGGGCTCTGTCTCGCCCGACCTCGAGGGCGCGAGTTTTGTCTCGTCCGACGGGGACCCATACCGCCGCCAACCACTCTAGGTCCAAGCGTATGGCCTGAGGTCAAAATTCTGATGCTAGGGAAGAGGCTGGCACGTCTCGATGTAACCCATGGCCATGACGGGCCATACCTGGGGATTCACATCAAGAACAATGTTCGGCGTGCCGGTGCTGTTCTGTCTAATCCTCGTACGAACGCTGACGATAGGCGCGTCAGTTCACCACGACGTCCGCAGGGACGAAGTGGAATGCCATGACCGGCAGATGACCCCTGTGCATGGCGCTAGTGACGAATAGGGCCATGACATAGAGCAGTCCCTGTTGACATCTACAGGATCGGCGGAACCCGCATGAAGAAGAAGAAGGACCCGGCAACCCTAGAAGCCTTCTTCTCTCTCTTGTTCTTCTTCTTTTCCTCCTCTGAAACCGCGCTTTTCCTTCGCCTATAAAAGGGGAAGCAGGCGCCCCATGAAGAGGGGGATCTAGACACAAGAGCACGACACGATCACACAGCTGAGCGGCAAGTGAGCTCTCAGCACCCGTTCACTCCTTCCACCAGAGACTTGGTATCCTCTTCCTCTCTCGCCTATTTGTAACCCCTACTGCAAACCAAGTGCCGGTAACACGAGCAGTAGCGAACTAGACGTAGGGACGTTCCGTCCGAACCAGTATAAACCCTTGTGTCCTCTAAGCACACCATCCGAGCGAGACGCGCAAATACAAATTTACTCATCGGTGGTCCGAAAACACCGACAGTTGGCGCGCTAGGTAGGGGCTTTTTGGGCGTCTCGATGTCCACATCAGGCCTCGGATGGCTAGTCACAGCGTCAGCTAGGTTCCAGGCGCGCACGTGCGCTTCAGGAACTTGGACTTCACCATTACGATGGAGGCAGAGTTGGCGTAGGTTCCGCTGCCGTCCAGCCTCTCTACTTCGCCGGCCTCGACGCGATCGCCGAGACGCTTGAGGAGCTACAACTGCATGCACCGAAGGCCCACGCCCCCAAGAGCGACCAGCTCCTCGGCTTTGATTATCGGAGGCTAGAGCGCCAACTCGGTGCCTTCCTGGGACCCCACCCGTCTCGGGAGGACCTACGCCGCCTCACCTTCTCGTTTGCCAACGTCATGACACAACTTGCCAGAGGAGAGTCGTTCTCCCTGGAATACCTCATCTGGAGCGCTCCGATAGCGCTCCCATTCAGTCTGCGCAACGCCGCAGAGACCGTAGGCCACCTTATGGCGCAGCACACGCCCCCATCCCCTACGAATGATGAGTTCGTGGGGATGACCGAATACGTCATGGAATCTTTCCACGACCTTCTCGCAGGAGAATCAGAGTCGCCCTCCGACACTGACTCCAACATGGGGAGCCATCACCGCTCGCGAGAATGTTTCATGACAGGTACCCTCGAGGGATACATCAAAAGCATCCACGAGGGAGGGGCTACCCCAAGAGACGACCTCAACGATGAGGTTGAGAGGGATGTAGGGGCCCCACCTCACCTACGGGTAGAGCAGCTAAGGACGCGGCACAAAGAGCTCAAAGAAGCATGACTCCGGCTCGAGCAGGAATGCGTGGAGCTCGAGCGAGAGATCGAGCACCATGGAGACGGTGGGTGTGCGTGCGCCGTGGCCCGTGATGTGAATCGGAGGATCATCGAGGACGATGAAGCCCTCCCACACTTCACCCAGGCAACCCAGAACATCGCTGCCGCGGTGGCCTTGCTTCAGGGGCTTCTGGAGCCCGCGACACCTAAGGATCGTCAGGCCCATCACGAGATTCACACGCTACTCGAGCGTGCGGCGGCGCAGCAGGCCGGGAGCTCACTGTCCCGACGACACGAGCTCGACGCCAGCTAGCGCACGCCCTTAGAGCGACCTGACAGGGATGTGTCAGTCCACCAGGCACATCAAGGCGGCAGGCCATGCCCCGCGGCCCTGGTTCATGAGCGTCTCGGCCTCCACTGTGATGCGCGCAACACCCTCGATGCCCGTAGGCGCGCCCCCAGTGATGTAAGGGAGGAAGCTAGCCATGGCTACCACCCTCGTCGTTTCGGATGCTATGACAGCGGCGAGGACCGAAGGCGAGCCCTGACTTGCCAGGACCTCAGGCCTTTGGCCGACACATCCTCAACGTCATCTTCCCACCACGGTACTGACCGCCGACCAACATCCCAAAATACTCCAAGGAAACAAACCCCAGACTATGGCTCAAGGATTATCGGCTTGCTTGCCGAGCCGATGGAGCGGATAGTGACAATTTCATTATCCGCAACCTTCCATTGTTCCAGACTGATTCGGCACGAACGTGGTTGGAACACCTTCCGCCCAACCGAATCTAAAGTTGGGCGCACCTAAAAGAGATCTTCGTGGGAAACTTCCAGGGCACATACGCGCGTCCTGGGAACCCATGGGATCTCAAAAACTACCGACAGAAGTCTGAGGAAACTCTTCGTGGGTACATCCGGTGCTTCTCCCGGCAGTGCAACGAGATGCCCGACATCATCGACGCCGACGTCATAGGAGCTTTCTTGTCCAGGACCACCTGCGAGTCCCTAGTTCACAAGCTAGGATGTAAGGGCCCGTGAACCACCAAGGAGCTCCTCTGAAAGCTCTAGTTTGGTTTTGGTGAATTGATGAAACCCTAAGTGCTAACCTAGTTTATCAAGTGATCATGAGATAGGTAGCACATTCCAAGTGGTGAAGCAAATGAAGATCATGACATGACAATGGTGATGCCATGGTGATGATCAAGTGCTTGGACTTGAAAAGAAGAAAGAGAAAAACAAAAGGCTCAAGGCAAATGTATAAATGGTAGGAGCCATTTTTGTTTTGGTGATTGAGACACTTAGTGAGTGTGATCACATTTAGGATCGATAGCCGTACTATTAAAAAAGGTGAAACTCGTATTGAAATGCGGTTATCAAAGTGCCACTAGATGCTCTAACTCATTTCATATGCATTTAGGATCTAGTGGAGTGCTAACACCCTTGAAAATGTTTGTGAAAATAAGCTAACACATGTGCACA